GTGTGTGTGTGTGTGTGTGTGTGTGTGTGTGTGTGTGTGTGTGGGTGTAGCTACTCCTTATCAGAGAGCTTCCTAAACTAGCTGAACCTAATTTCTAAAGTTATTAATGGCTTCTGTTATAAACTGATGCAGAATAACCAAGATAAACTTTTTTTATTATTATGTGTTGGTATAAAAGGATTTAAAAAGGGTTATGTGTTACAGCAGAGTTCAGCTWAAGTTGATTCAGTTCTTTATAAAACAACAATCCGATGTCTGGTTCAGTGCTTTGTTATACACCTAAACCTCCTGCAGCACATTGTATAGGACTCATTGTGCTGAGTCAGCGCTGCTACCTTTAAAACTAAAGTGTAAAAATGTGCTGCTGAAAATAGTAACGAGGAAAAGTAAATGTTATTCCTGGAAAAAAGCAAAGGTTCCGCTTTTTGGAGTGAGATTATATGGAAAGGTTGTGAAAATGTATTATCTTATCTGTTGTAGATGAGCACATTTCTCCCAAGGGAGACTAATAAAGCTGTCAGGGTAAAAGAGACACTGCTCGACTGTTTTATGGGAAGCTTTTTAGTGGATTTCAATGATCAACAATATATTTAAAATGGGAAACTCTGGGGTTTTGTAAAAAAACAGAAAAAATGACAAATGGGTTTAAATCGTTTATTTTATTTTATAAAATGATCTTTTGAAGTTCTGTTTTGGCACAATCTATTTTTTTGCGTAATGTAAAAGTGAGCTATTGATCACATTTATTGCTATTCATTATTATATTTTTTATTTAAACAATGTAAATCTACATATTGCTAAYACTGACCAATCATTACAATGCTATTTGATATGAAGTGAATATTACACTCTACAGTTTGTATGAATCATGGGTCAGCGACGATATTATTTATCGATTTCAGGTTTTTGTTTGTGAAAGTTTATGTAGTCTGTAATGTTTTGTTGGAAATTATTAAATAAAAAAGTCCATGCCACTTCCTTAGGCTGCAGTGGGCAATAAGGATTTTTTTCCTCCCTCATCACCTTCGTCACATATTTWAAAAAAAKRWWTTTTTTTCCTGAATTTTCACATTTGACCCACCTGACCWACAGAGAGATGAAACTCATAAAGATGTGTTGCCAAAGGAAGCAGAAAGTCTTCTCTGGTTGACGTCTCCTCCCTCTGAACCAGTGTGATTACAGCAGTACTGTGATGACTTCACTACYATTATACACTTCCTAAATAATTAAAACATCGTCACCAAGTCAGTGATGTCTCATCTGACACTTGAGCCCCACTCACTTGTATTAGAAACACTATATAACACAATGATGATACGTCTCATGAATCATGTTACATTGCTAGTTTGCGTTGTTAATTGCTTTTAGTACATAAAATCACTATTCTACCTCAGATCAGCGAAAAGTTCCTAAGTTGCTGCGCTGAAATGTCTACAGATGCAGATGAGTAAAGAGTAAACGTCACCAGAAATAGGAATAAGGCGCTGTTTGCACACTTTAAAATACAATATAAATAAAAAAATAAAACATTGTGCCAAAGCTTAAAATGTGTCACTGGAAATGAATTGAAAGGCCTGACGCTGCTTCATAAACTTGGCGTAATGCTCTTCAAGCTATAAACTTTATTATGTGGAGCTTGACGCTCATTTAAGAAGCGCGATGAAGCATTTGTGTCTTTACAGCTACAGACATCCCCCTGTTGAAAGCATGTCGCTCCTTAATGTCAGACTCACAGCAAAACCTACACATTGTTTTGGATTTGTGTCCATAAATAGAGTTTTGCTGATTTTTTTGTCCTCTTATGTTTGTTTTTTTTCCATCGTCCTTATGAACACGAACACAAATGGAGAAATTTAAGCAGCCGTGTTCACATCCAGAGGTCAGGGGTGTTGGAACTGCATTAATATCAGATCCAAGTTAAACTCCTGCCCCAGCCTCTGGTGTTTTAAAAAAATGTCACCCTAAAAGGATACTTCAGATGATTCAATTGAAATTTTGTGAAAACATGGACAACTAATACTGTATCTTACCTGCTGTAGATAATGTTTTGAACAACCTCAGTTTGGGGAAATAAACATTTAAATTGTTGAACTTTTGGCTAGTTTGAGTCGGGACCAAGACCAGAGTGGATTTCTGACAGATATGCTGGAAGAGCTCCCAGCTGCACAAGTTTAGCTTCAGCTAGCTGCTGCTTTTTGTACTCGTACATTAACAACTGTTACATTCTTACCAAACGTTTGGAGTTTGGAGTTGTTTGAAGGTTGCAGTGATCCACTTTGAGCTTAGCTGCGTTCTGACAAGCCCTTAGTTTCTTTGTCATGTAAGACTTAAATTCTGTTTTCCAAAACTAAATTTATCCAGAAGGTTTTTTTTAAAACAGGTAAAATATCAATTGCATATTAAGCATTTTTGTTTAAGAAAACAATACTTTAAAATTTCTGAATTGTTCCTTTAAGGTTTTACTTGCTATTCCGGTGGTATTCTTTAAGCTGTTTCATCTGTTGAAAAGTCTTGAGAAGGTTAAGTATTAGGGTAACATCAGGCACTAAGTAGTGCAAGTTTAAGTATTGAAAACATCATGGCTTGTGTTGTAACTTATTCTATAAAAATGTTATTTTCCTTGATGATTGGCTGCCTTCTTCTCAGTAAAAAACAAGTTGAAAAAACAAAGTAAACATCCTGAAAAAGAACTTACAACAGTAACATTCTGGTTTTCTGTCTGTTTCATGTTATTTTTTCTTTCTTTTTGCCAGATTAAATTGAAGATTTTATTTGTCACATTTGCTGTAGCTTCATCTCCATTCTGGCTAAACACGTCCGTGCAGCTCATTGATTCCTTCTACATTTTCTAACACTGTTTAATCACAGTTTAAACCTTTAATTTTTACAATCAAAAGCACCTGATTTCATATAGCTTGTGTTTGAAGTAATCCTAATAATCCTGRTTTTAATACACTTTTAAATGCAGAAAATACAGACGTTTTCTTTTCTTTTCCAGCCTTGAAGTGTTTGGAGGTTCACAGTGAGTTTAGTGACTGGATCAGTATAAGAGCAGCACGGGGGAAATCCAGCCCTTTAGAAATATTGTTTAATCGTATAATGGGTCAAAGGCAACACCAGCATCCTTTTCTTTCCTCCTTAAACCTTTCCAAACATTTTTATTAGCTGTCCAACAGCCGTGTCTGGGATGAAGCTCTAAAAATTTATCCTCACACTCACTCAGATTGCTCTTCTCTTTTGTTCAAAATTGGACGATGAAAAGCCYGGAAACACAGAGAGAAGAAGAGTTTGTCTCCATTTGGTTTGCGTATCTTGTAGGTCCCTTTTCTTCAGATGACTTGGTGTTTAGAACGTCACCAGGGTGTAGACCATACTGCAGACAAAAAAAAAAATAACGCAAAAGATAACAAAGAACAACTCATCACAACAAACCTATCTCAGAACAGTAATTAACAACCCATTCCTCTATTCTCTCCATGACTTGTCACAATGTGGCTAGGGCCCTGGCAAATAAAAAATAAAACTAAGTCTGAATGCTTTTACGACCCTAACAATAGTGATCAAACTGTTTTTCCCTGATGTTTTCCATGTACTCCAAAAGGCTCTACTGCTCCATCGCCACAATTTATTCCTCCGCCCTGGTACATTTTTCTCAAGAAGAGAACTGCCTTTTGTGGAGATTCATTAGAAAAACAAAAATGCTAAAGCAGATCAAAGCTTCAACAGAGTGCAAAAGCTGTGACGTGTGTCAACCTGTGGACAAATGTGGCCTGTGACTGCATTTTATGTGGCCAGCGAGAGCTTCATAGATGTATGAATGTCTTAAAATAAAATGAAATAAAAGCCAGCACTTATAATAAACTACCGGTACATCTTCCAAAATGCATGTTGATTATTTTACCAACAAAATAAATGGCATCCCAGCACTAGGTGGAGGTAAGTAGCTGGCAGATGGCAAAATTCACATTATAAATCTCCATTTTGCCGCTTTTTCACTGACTATTGTTGCTGTGGCCCAATTGTACTAATATATGGGAATTTCCCACCTACAAGGCGTAAAACTAAATCTAAACTCTTCCTGTGAGAATCACTTGTGGGAAAGCGGGAGAGTTCAGAATTGAAGATGGCAGCTAATCACCACAACTCAACAGTGAGTAAACCTCTTAATTTTACTTTTAATAGTTTTTTTCTGTATCATTTATTTCACATTTAATCAGTTGTTCACAAAGTACTTTTCAGTGTTCATAAGAGGACGTTTTAGAACACTGTTTCTATGCAGGAAATACCACGTAGAGCTCAGTACATGTCTGTTWGCAGTGCACAGCTGTAGTAATGAAATGAGTTAAACACAAATCATTGAAGTTATTTATAACTGACCTTTTGAGGGCCACCATGATGCTCATGGGGCCCTCTGTGAAAATGAGTTTAACACCTCTTCTCTAAACAAAGCAGGGAATTTGCACACCTCATGAGACTCTTCATGAGTTGTGCAGATTCTGACCCACAACATATTATAATTTGATATAATGATCKCATACCACAGCCATRAAATAGTTATTGGAATCAGTAACGGTATAATTTTTTATCCGCACCTTTCATGATCATCTACACACTGGCTGCTTTTTTGTGCTGTAGTGGGAGTTTGTCATCAATTGAGGCATGAAGATCCAATGAGACAGCATTAAACTACTACTTACCTGTACAGGTAATAGAAGAAGGAGAGCAAATAGAAGCCCATTTTACACCAGGACTCCTTCTGACAGTAGTTGAGGATGTCTGCATTCATCACGCTGACAGGATCATACATAACCTCTGATCCATCAGCTGGCCGATGAAAGAACCTAAAAAATGAAGGAAAAAAAATTCAGCTCGCTCCCCCATTGACCCAACAAACTCAAGAATCAGACATCTGTTATGGGACCGTACCTCCACAGATGGTAGAAGAGCAGCGGGATATTTAGGCCAAGAGTGACCCATTCTCCAGCACACATGAACATCAGGCAGAAGAGCCCGTGTATAGAGTACTCTGGTACCACCAACTGATCAGAGCAGACACAGGGACTCTGTTACGTGTGTGCGTTTTATATAATTTATATATAAAAAAAAAACATATAGCTGAATTTGTTCATAAAAGTGTGGACAGCACCTATAAAGAAGGTGTTAATGTTACTGATGACCAGCTGTTGTTAGGAACATTAGAACAGCTTCAAATGTGCGTCTGGTTGTCATATGCTTCCAGGAAATATTTTAAACATTTTGCACAAAGTTATGGTGTTTTAACATGTTTTTCAAGTTGCTAATACAAAGCACAATTGTTATTCTAGTTGTGAAAACAATTAAAAATGTGTTTTATTATTTAAAAACCAACAGTGCCACAGCCAATGTCAAAGAAGTGTCCTTAAAGCAATGCAGTAGAAAACAGACAGAAATGCATTTATTTATTTACCGTATTACCTAACCTAAAGGTGAGTTAGTATCTCAGGTTGTAACTAAACTAGTTGATGACTCAAAATTGTGAGAAATTTTGAGAATATCAACAAATTCTCAGCTGCATTYTGACTGAATCCTGAGTTTTTGCAACCAGCAAGCTGTGTGGCCAGTTTTTGAAAATTTCTCTGTGCTCAGCATGTAAATCTTTAATCTTGACCCTGCACACTTCTTTCTCCAACTCAACCTGCTTTGTACCCACCGGGGCAATGACACTCACGTTTAGGATTTAATCTCCTAGAATAAAATTTTGAAATTAACATATTCAGAACAATTTTTTAATAATTTATCATGGGTGTGTCTTTTATGAATACACACCACYTTGTACCCTTGGAAGTACCTGTGTGCTTCAACATTTTTAAAATGTTTAAAAATGTCACTAACAATTTTTTGTTATTTAGCTCACTTGTAAAATTCTATTTAAAAACTTTCCACTAACATTTTATGGTTATTTCGCTCTTTGTTGTTACATGTTAAATTTAAATGTTATATGCAATTATACGTTCTAAACATAAATGTGCAAATCTAAACATAAAAGTTAAATCTTTAATGTTGCAGCTAATTGATAAAGCTTACATTCAATAATTTTGAAAAGGAATGCAGCCTTTGCTGTTGGTGTGCAGATTTTGTTGTGATGTCATCATCCTGTGACAAATGTAAATGCTAACATTGCTGAAGATGGTATTTGAAATTTTTATTAAAATGTGTTGTTGAAGACAGTATAGCTGTGGTCAGGCAGTTTGAAGTGCAGCTCAGACCCAGGCCGCAATTGTGAGTTTGATGTGCATTAGCATTATTAGCAACATTAGCGGTGTTAGCAGTATTAGAGGTTGCTTTTGACTCAGGATGATGACAAAAAATATAAATGTATTAGTGACATTTTTAAATATTTTATTTTACACCTGGCACCAAATATATCTGTGCACGTGTCAAAAAACAGGTTTCAATAATTACAGAAACTACAGTGAAGTAAAATGGGTTTAAGAAGCTCACYAGTATTTTAAGGGAAAGTTTGTTGCATTAAAAAAATTTAAAGTGACAGTCTTGTGATCTTCTGCAGCTCTGACAAGAAAATTGAGAAGCTCCTGAAACATTTCAAGACATTGTGGAGACTCCTGGACTGTCACAGCCCTGTGAGACTGAGATAGTTCAGATGAAAAACAGACAAGTTAGTCTAACAAAAGACAAAAAATGCATGTCATTTAGTTTAGACATCTAGTGGCAAAGTTTAGCATTGCAGCTTCTTGACTATGCCTCACCACATTTACAAACATTAGTTTAGTGTTAGCCTAATGAGAGTATATAAGACAAATAAAATTAGTTAGTTAAGGCAAAAACAATATAAACAACAGCCAGAAAGATGCCAGACAGGTGTACCATTACTGAACATTTTGGCAATGTATCACAGCAGAGTGACCATGCACGAACACAGCCTCGTGTTGGTTTTGATTAAACTAAAAAAAAATTAAAAAGCCATTGCCGCCTGATTCTAGATAGAAATMGAAATTTACGTTGTCTCACATGTCTCCCCCTGCAGCCCTCCTGGGTAATTGACTTCACATTTTCCTGACAGCAACAATATTGAAATTCTTTCCCCAGTTATAAGATGACATATTGGTTTTATATCAGAGACACTCATGACTCTGCCTCATATTATATTATCATAGAGAAATATTTCAATATAATCTCCCAATCGATTTATGAACTTCATGCAGCTCAACATCATTCTGTAAGGTTTCATCTCCATGTTTGAACTAAATGTAAAAAAAAATTAAACATTGTGATCCCTGTTTTAATAATTCTTATGAATACACWATGTGAGGCATTTGTCTTGATTTCAGCTTTTAGTGGTATTTCTTWAATGATCTCCAGCCTATTTTAGGTACTTGCTGCTTCTGATCATCTATGAGCAAATTTCTAAAATGGCATCAGGAACTTTGTGAGCTCTCAGGGACTCTTACAGTTTCTCTACCCCTTTAAAATCTTTGAAATAATTCAATAAAAATCCAAAACAAMGCTAAAACCTTGACAGCATCTCCATCAGGGCATGTCTGAAGCTCTGAAATAATGGGCCGTGGGGAGCATGTGAAACTGTGTGCGTCACCATCCTCTCACAATAGTTAGAGAGACAAATGGTCATGGCTGTCTGAAACCCCTCTGCTTTAGTCATCTTCCAGCAGAAGGTGGAAAACATCTATTACTCACTCTGCGAAGCAGGTTGCAGATCCGCTCGATGTTAAGAATCCTCTCTCTCTGTGCAGTGGACAGAAAGAGAAGCCTGGTCAATATCCTGCAGATGATTTGTTGTGCGAGCGGGAACAAAGCAGCAACACTACATTCTCCCTCTCTGTCATTCATTTCCTTAACCTGCTGGAGCTGCAGCTTGTCTCCAAGGATCATTGGTCKAAAAGCGTGGACACCCTGGACAGGCTGCAGTCCATCACAGGACCACACAGAGGCACAAACAAATARCTCACATGCCTTTTTTATTTATGTTTTTCAGGCACAGGTTCTARAAGTATGTTACATTTAGTTGTTAGGAAAATGCTGTATCAAAAAATACATTTGACTTTGCATCACTGTAAACACTATGCATGAACCGCTTTAAAAATGGGATGTTCTGTGTTTTACGACATTAGATTTGGCTTTGCATGGATATCCGTCGGAACCATATAAACAAGCTCATAATGGCAGAAACGTTACCTCTTTTTAAATTGATTTTTTTTGATAATATTCTGTGGATTTTGTCAGCACAAACATTAGCAGCAGCTAGCTTTACCACTTCCTGTTTARGCTGGGACACTTCCAATTTTCAAATCGATTTATGAAACAATGTTTGATACAACTTTACATCACCAGTTTCACATTACGCAGTTATTCCAGCAAAAATGTGAAATTCCCTGTGTTACATTTGTCATATTAGCTAAGAACAGAATTTTATCTAAATAACCATGTAAGTAATTAATAGTAGTGGAAAAAAAATATAAAACAGCATTCCCACAAACTGTGAAATTTTGGAGGTTTTAAAATTACATCTCAGCAGCATTTATACTAGCTATTAACTCGTCAAACCTSTTGGAGTCTGATTCTCTAAATGGAAGTTGTTCAAAGATCAATCTACAACAGGTAAGATATTAACTGCTGATTACTTCTCCACAGAACCCCACCAAAACTTTAATGATGTGACTACTAAAACAAACGAAAAATTTCACACAGACGTTTGAATTCAACCCACTGTGATGGATAAAAATGCCCGCAGTGTTTCTGCCACAGATCTTCGACCTGACGTATTTTTAATCGCTGTTAGGGAAACCTTAGATTGATTGCATCCTTCGACACAAATCACAGCAGCTTCATTTAAAAGACCGCGACTGCCAGAACTAACAACTCTGCCATGAGAGATYACAGAGGGTTTAATTATGAGCTCTGAAATGAAACCATCCATCTTAAACTGCATTGATTAGCCAGCAGACCGTCGCTTGTTGGGTGGTGATGTTTTAGTTGTCCATTGACAGGCCYGTAAGAGAAAATAGATGCTTTTCTCAAGTTCATTGACAGAGATGATTCTATTTCCATCAAAAAGTTATTAGAGCAGGGAAACTAAAGTACCAGTGATYGTCAGCAGATTGATCAATAGTTCTWAYTTTYTAAATYTYTGTWTTTGTGTTGAGGATGTGAGTAATTTTAATGCATGTGTCTTTTAACATACCGTTTTCTGTTCCCTTTAGTTGGACACACATTCAACTTTTGTTTTTATTTTTCTACTTRTGATCTGAAAGTAAATTTTGCCCTCTCTCCAGCTTCAGAGGCGTGCATCCGGTGAGTAATTTTCCCCTCTTTTTTCAAGCTTCATGCCCCAAATCCCGCTCCATCACTGAGCTTCAACACGTGCTTGACCTGCCTCTGCTGGAGACGGTCTGCTTTGTTATTAAACCTGTAAATTGCTGTGCTGCTCAGATTTTTACAGCCTGCAGCTTCACCCCGAGGGGCCCTTGTTTGTGTCGGGMTGTTGAGGTTAATTTGAACAACAGCAATAAAGAAACATAACAGAAGACATTCATCAAATGCTGTAGAGACAATTTCACAATGTCCAAATCAGAGAGCAAAGATTAGAGGATGAAGGATTTTATGAGTGAACATCAGAATCCCTAATTTGAAGTTACTCATCCAGAAACAGACAATTTTGCTAAAACGAACATTGTCACACCCAATAAATCATTTAAGGAAGCTAAACTTTAAGTATCATGAAAAACAGAAAGCATCCATCCATTTGCTTCCGCTTATCCGGGGTCAGGTCTCGGGGGCAGCAGCCACCCAGACTTCCCTCACCCCAGTCACTTGGACCAGCTCTTCTGGGGGAATCCCAAGGTGTTCCCAGACCAGCTGAGAAACATAGTCCCTCCAGCGTATCCTGGGTCTTCCTCTGGGTCTCCTCCCAGTGGGACATGCCCAGAACACCTCACCAGGYAGACGTCCGGGAGGCAGATACCCGAGCCACCTCAACTGGCTCCTCTCGACGTGGAGGAGCAGCGGCTCTACTCTGAGTCCCTCCTGGATGACTGAGCTTCTCCCCCTATCTCCATGGTCTCAGATTTGGAAGCACTGATCCTCATCCCGGCTGCTTCACACTCAGCTGCGAACCGCTCCAGTGAGAGCTGGAGATCAGGATCTGATGAAGCCAATAGGACCACATCATCTGCAAAAAGCATTGCCGGCAACAGAAAGCATGTCCACCATCTATTTAGGCAGTAGCTTAGGCATAAACTAAGGTATTTTAGCTCTTCAATCCTCTGAGATGTAAAATCTAAAATGTTTTTGGTCTGTGAGAGGAAACCAAAGAAAACCCAGGATAAACAGTCTTTCTCCAAGACCTCAGATTCAAAACAGGGATTGAACTCAGGACCTTCTTGCTGTAAGGCATGAGTAAAAAATACAACCCTGGACAAAAACACAATAGGGAATCACCACTTTTGGAGTTGTACTCTCAATTGTTTAATTTTGTTTAAYAGAAAATAATAAATTGCAGACATGCCCCAAAATTATTGCTTTTCAAAAGTCCAACTAGCAATAAGAAAAAAAAAGAAATATTATTCTTGTAGTCAGTCTTATTTGCTTTTTTAGGTCAAATAGAGGAAAAAAATATGGAATCATGAGGAAAACACTGAGGCTTTAATAACAATTTGAATTCTCTGAGACATAAACATAAACCATCCATCCATCCATCCATCCATCCATCCATCCATCCATCCATCCATCCATCCATCAATCAATCTTTCTCTACTTCTTTCTGGATCACAGGGCTAGTGCTCATGTCCATTAATCATTGTTCTGTCTTAAAGGTGGTTTAACTCCCTGGACAAGTTACCAGTCCATTACAGGACCATGGCAAACAGTATTCTTCATCACCTTTGCTCCATCTGTCTCTTTTTGCTGTTCCCAGATCAGTTTTGCAAGATAGTATCTTGTCATGGATATGTTGTTTTTCAATTTCCACCAGAAACTTTCAACTGAACAAYGCTCCAGTCTATTTCCAGGCCATGACATTGACATTAAATGTCTTTTTTGATGGTTTTCACATCAAAACAATAATTTGGAGGCGTGTCTGTGATTTATCTTTTTTTTAAACAAAATCAAACAGCTGAACATCCAAGGTGATTCCATATTTTTAACCAGGGGTTGTATTAAACATATGTAACATATTTTACAGAAATCCACATCAAATTGTAATGTGCAGCAAAAATAAAAAAAATAAAACATTTGAAATTCAGTAAACTGTAAAAATTAAAAGATTTTTCATTAATTTTTATTGATAAAATAAATTAGGCTATTGATATAAAATGGCTTTTTGATGAAGCTTTTTCTATCTTCAAAAGCCTTTAATGAGGAAATAATTTGGTTCAGCAGCCGATCGTGTTCCCCTTTTGAAACTCTGATTGTCGAAAACACAAATCTGATCTGTAAACACATGTTTCAACAGTGTCGTGTTGTCTTTCTGTAATTTCTCTGTTGCTCACAAATGTTTACGACTCTGCTCCGTTTTGTACACAGCAGCGTCTGAGTGAACATCCAACATGAATGCTGTTTGTTTTCACAGCCTGTTTTCTGTCTATCTCCCCTCTGTTTGTCCAGTTTATTGGATTTGGGAGAGATGGGGAACATTGCAGCCTGGCAGATCACGCTACAAGTCTGACATGTTAAAATTGTCTCATAAAARGAGGAAATGCAATTCAGCTTTAAATTCAAAATCCAAAAGGCTTGAAATGTTAATAGAATTGACTGCCGTTTTGTCAGAGATTGTTATAGATTTTACAGGTGGCGCYGTTATTGTGTCCGCTTCCTGTGGCTGGCGTGCCTCCACACACCCACGGTCTGTTTTCACAGCTTCCTCTCCCACTCCTCATCACTCCCTCAGTTCAGATGAAGGTTCACATGGCTGCCAGAACATTGTCTATCCTGTGAAAAAGAGATTCGCAGCTGCTGCTAACGTGCTAAATGAACGACGGCGGTCTCATCTCTGACTCATGATGATGCTGCTTAATTTGAGATTCGAGCAACMATACTGCAGGAGTTTCTGTGAGAAGAGACGAAAGAAATATCTGCATTCTTTGGATCAATTAATTTGATCTTGATTATGCAGTATGGCTGAACATCATTCACAACCACGGAGGTGTATAGAACAGCTGGAGCACGGGCAAGAGTCTGGATTTAGCATCATTACTTACATGTTGGCAAAATAGCAAACAATAAGAACTGATTATGGAAAAATTGTATAT